ACCTTCTTTGAGTTCAACAAAATATTTTAAGCACCCACTGTATACAGTTCTGGGGCAGGTACCTGGTTTATTTTTTTAATTACATTTTATTTATTTCAGTCAGCAAAAACCAGCCTTCCGTCCTTTCCACTCACCCAAACCCCTCCCCCTCATCCCCAGTTGAGAATGAATGAAAATGAAAGAGAAACAAAAAACCCTTGTTGCAAACATGTAGAGTCAAGCGAAACAAACATCCACATTGGCCATTTTAAGGAACTCAGTTTAGATAAGACTCAATCCCCTCCCTCATGCAGCTTGTATCTAGTGAAGGCAAGATACATAAACAGGTAACTTACAGTACAGAATGATATCATAAGTATATTATTGGGCATAAACAAAAGTGCTGTGAAGTTTGAGAGGGAGAGGGCATTGACTTGACGGGCCAGGGAAGGCTCCTCAGTGGAGGTAGCCTTTGACTTTGGCTTTAAAGAATGGGTCGGAATATAGCAGCAATGATGGGAAGGAGGCCAAGGAGGAGGGGAAAGCTGTACCGGGAACAAGAAGACAGCATGAGCCCAGGCAGGGGGTAGGAGAATGCAGGGTATATCCAGGAGCTGTCCAGTCTGTCATAAGAGAAGCCTGAGAAGGAGGGGTGGTACCAGTGTCTGGGGTGCCGTCAGCACCAGGCCAGGAGACTGGGGGCCATTGAAGTTGTGGCAGCAGAGCACCACCATAACTGAGTCTCTGCCGAAGAAAGATGAGCCTGTTAGTGTCTGAAAGACGATTGGAGGGAAGAGAGAGCAGAAGCAGAAAGACCCAAGTCCTGGAGAACATTTTAATGAGAGAGGTAGGTATGCAAGGATACTTCCAGCTGGTGACAGTAACAGACTCTTCTGGAAGCCATGAGGTCTGGGTTCTAGTCTCCATTCTCCTTCTCTGTAAAATGGAGGAGTGCACTCGATGACCTCTAAGGTCCTTCTGAGCCATGACATTCTGTATTCTAAAAAAGTTGAACCTAAGGCTAGAGATGGGCTGACCAGGAAAGTTTTTGTGTCACTTGACTTCATGCACATGAGGTAGATAGCACAAGTTTTCTGCTGAGGCTCAGAGACGAGAAGTGACTTACCCATGGTCATACAGCTTGTTGAATTGAATCAGGTTCTTCTTTGTTATTAGCCCTATGAATAAAATTAGAAATTTATCTTCTGGACTTAAACTTACTTCCACTTGAGTGTTAAGCTGAAAGTGCCGGCAGGAAGGGCCTTGGTTAATGAGTAGTCGTGGCTGTGCCTCAGCCCTGGGAATAATTGTCATAAGCAGCTCGTCTAGCAGGTCTGATCATGCTCGAGGGGCCGCTGTCATCCTGGAGTTGTTCCCAAGTCTTGTCCTAGGGGAAAATACAGGAAAACTTTGCTGTCTCCTGGGCAGTGCCTCCCCCACTGCCACTTACTTGTCATCTTTACCTAATGGATGAGCAGGGTGACTGTGAGCTGGATGATTAACTCACAGAACAGCCCCTGAGGAATGCCATCTAACAAGGGCCCTAATGAGGCGTAGGACTTGAGAAAGCATTCTGTGGGATACCTGCCTCTTGTGGCTGGAATCAGTTTAGAGCAAATATGAAGCACCACCTTTAAAGAGGATTTAGAGCTGGAGAGAGCTGAGGGATTGTTGAGCGCAGCCTTACTATTCTGTAAATGAGGAAACCGAGCCTTGGAGAGGTTGCAACTTGCCATGATGTTCAGGTAGTAAGTGGCACAAATGGGGTTTTGAAACCAGGAATTCCCATAATCAAATAGGATCCTGGGGTTGGTTGGAAGGTACTTCAGAGGCCCCTCGTTCTACTTGTCCCTGAGCAGGAACCCCCTACAACACCTCCAGGGCGGGCCTTTGTACTCAGACCTCTAATGTGGGATTCATCACTTCCTGAAGCATTCCTTATGGACAATATGAGGCAGTTTTCCCCCTTATAACAGCTTTAAATGTTCCTCTCTGCGGTTTCCTGATCCTTGGGATGATGGAGCCTTGTGACTCCTGGACAGTGGCCTGAGTGCCACCGTTTTACTTCTAAAGCAGAATGGCCCCAAACTGCTGTCCCTTGTGGGTGTATTCTCTTGTAATTCTCTCAAATCCCAGCAGTTGGTGGGAAGAGACAACGAATGAATGAAAGAAAAAGCATTTGTTAAGCACTTTACTATGGGCCATACAGCACTGAACAGGTCCTGGCAACCAAAAGGTGAAATGATGCTGCTTTCCAGAAAGAAGACATTGTATAATCACTTCATATAAAACACTTATATGATAAAGTGGTGGCCGGGGGAGGGCGTTTGGGTCTGGAGAGCCACAGGAGTACTGAGCTCATTGATGAAGCAGCCATTCGAAAGCCCTTTCTGAAAGGAAAGGATTTGGATTTGACTACTGTGCCCAGAGGCAGAGGTAGAACGTGGCAGTGGGGGTTGTGGGCAGACGGCAAGAGGGCCTGGATGGAAGTTGTGGAGAAACAGTGAGGCTTGATAGAAGGAAGCCTTCGTAGCAATCAGAGCTGTCCCACAATGTGAAGGGCTTCTTCAGGTGGGAGCTCATCTTCTGTGGAGGGGTTTGAGGAGAGGCTGCCAACCACAATGTCCCTGACAAGTATAGGGGAGTCCTCTCAAGGAAAGCGTTCAGCTACAAGGTCTCTGAGATCCTTTCTAATTAGGAACACTTTCATGCTGGACAAAGCAGGTCTTGGCAGAGAGCTTTTCCACACTCAGAAAATCAGGACTGAGTCATGTGGGCTATGGGAACATAGACGGGAAAATTCTGGGTATGTCAAGAAACTTGGTTATGTAACTAAACAGCAGCAAAATCTAGGGAAATATGCCAGTGGGGGGACAAGTTCAGAAGGGGACATGTAAACAAACATATCCTTTTTTTGCCTATCCCATTAGATTACTATATGCTGTAAAAAAAAACAAAATG